TGAATGGTGTACTCTCAGGTACTTTCCTGGTGGAAAATAATACTTTCTTGCTTGGCAGCAACGCTGTGAGGGAACGCTTGAAAAAACCGCTGTCTATAGTGGTGCTGACATAACAGTTGGAAGTAGTGATTTTGAATCGTTTAAACCAAACTCCCACGTTCAAAGTATACTCCTAGAAGTTAGTATAGTACAGAATCTCACGCGGTTACCGTACACCCGCTAACATCTCAACCCACTTTCACTTCCCATTTCCCACTTTCCACGTGCTAAAACACACTTTCATCTTCCAGACAACTCTCAAATGCATGCGAATGACATGCCTGACATTGGAACTCGCTTCGCACTCTTCACGCTCTTTCACCCTGAATCCTCGCAGCTGTCTGACGATTCTAAGATAGGGGACTCGTGTACGGTGGAGGGGAGGGTGTCTATCAAGAACAGCACTGTAGGCAGCCACACCACCATCAGAGCCAATGTCAAGCTCAACAACTGCGTCATCATGGACCACGCCGAAATCGGGGCTGGGTACTGTCTATTCGGAGAGTGTACATTTGTAACATGTCACACGGTTTTTGGGTTTAAAACATAGTGTTCTCAATTTTTTTGCACAGTACTTCAAAAAAAAAAAGGTGTTTAAAGCATAGTGTTTTCATATTTGTCGTACTTCATTTTTGGGCCGTGTCGGATTTGTCGCACATGTTCTGGTGCATGGTCAGTCGTAATCCCGTTTTGTTTGTATGCGCTTGTTGATGTCAAGTTGCGACCGGCCGACATATAGCGGAGACTGCCTGTCCGCGTACGACCGAAAGGTACACTATCTGTGCCTGATAGAACCATGCACTCCTTATCTATCGCATGGCACGGGTGTGTATTTGAGTGGTTTACTGCTTCGTATGTATATACACACATACCATTTATCAACTTCATGGACTAGATCATATATAGATATCCCTCGCCGCATGGGGGTTTGTACAGGATATCCAGGATTACCACAACACAGTGCTGAGTTTACGGTTTTAACACCCAGTTGGCATACCTCGAGTGCATGCAGGTCTTACACACAGAACTATCTCATCCTTTGTGGGCACCTGTGTATGCACCCTCACAAGAGCACCTACTCTAGACACACCCGTTGGCCACACATATGGAGCAAACACCTGTATGCAAGCAATAGTGCAATTTCCCGGTCAGATAGACTGAGTGTGGGGGGGGGGGCGGGTATATGTCGATGGACAATCATCCTCACACACCTGTGTGTCTATATGGCTGTACATGCGGCCCGTTGCATGTACCTGTAGTACGTGCCTTTCCTATCCCTCAATGTAACTCTAACCCTAACTCGACTTATCTGCACGTGTGTGGCATGTATTCTTTGCATCTGCAGGTCCATACTAAACAACACGATTGTGTGCAAGAACGCATACGTACAAGCAGGGTGCACACTTAAGGACTGTCAGGTGGGCGAGAAGTTCGTCATCGACGAAGGAAGTATGTGACTCAAGATTGTGCGAGTGTTGCCTGTCATTTAGGAACGCTGTGGGGTTTTGGCCTCTGGGTTATGTATGGTTTAGATTGTGTGAGTATTGCCAGGAATTTATGGCCATTATAGCAGGTTTGGATGTAGTGATCAGCGAGGAATGTTAGTATACACGTGTGTGTACGTATGGTGGTTTCGAATTTACACGGAAGAGTATGCACGTACGAGTTTGCATGCATTGAGATGTGCGCCTACCTGTAAGTGGTCTTCAGTGCCCGAATAAGTTTGTAGCTGATTCTGAGGATACGTTATGTATATATATATGTATATATATATATATAAATATAGATATAGATATAAATATAGATATAAATATTGATATAGATATTTAGATATATGTATGAATATATATATATATATATATATATAATGTATAGAAATATATATATATATATATATATATGTGTGTGTGTGTGTAAGTGTCAGTGTGTATTTGTGTGCATGTATATATGTGTGTATATGTATTTCTTTGTGTGCTTTTGTATATATATGCATTTATGTGTGTATGTATATAATATATATACATATATATATATATTATATATTAATATTTTGTACAGGTGTGATTATATTGAATTGAATTGTATAGGTAAATCTAATGATGAACGATTTAATGACTTATTGACGGACACCCAATCTCTTTCTTTTTTCCGTGCAGTCGAAGCTGAATCAGAGAGCTTTGTAAACACTGTAGGCCTTCTCTCCATTTAAGAGGATCTTCCTATTAAAGTATTATCAGTACGTCAACTGTCTCATTGGAACCATTTTATTTCATATCAAATGAAGCATTGCCAGTGCTTCTGGTGTAACGAACCTAATTCATCTCATCTGTAGATTGAATCGACACTTGCGAATGTTTTATCGTCGTTGAAATCCCAGTGTATTCGTTGCTGAGAAACTGTCTCCGTAAATGTATGATTGTTCTTGAACGGCCGTTCAAAAAAGTATGCCCGTTGTGCGTGAATGTACACGGTGCATCAGTCACCTCTCAGTGCTGTTCCGTTCCAAAGGCAAAAACTGATACATAGTTTTGCAATAGGCATTATTAAGTTCTTGATTTTTTTTGGAAAGTAACGTGGGTTGTCGACGCGTGTCGATAGAACCATTCGGGTTCGTATGACAGTGCTGTTGTTGCGATGTTCCAGTAACATTCACGTTTGAACCGAATTGTTCGCACTCTGGTGAATGTATGCCACGCACAACGGCACTAAATGTTCTCGAAAGCTAGAGTACTCCGCTCGTATACTCTGCCGTGGGTGGACATTTGCCTATCGTTAGAAGTGATTCATCGTTACCTGACTTTGTAGCAAATTCAAATAGACCCCTGCATTTTGGATATCTTGAAAGGTTTTCTTTCACTATTCGTTTGTACTCGTCGGTGCGCATAATATTTCCTGTGAGTTAAGAGCAGCGTTTAGGAGCATCAGTGTTGGGCATTTATATTTACTAGCTGTGACGCGTGCTCGATTGGATTCAGTTCGTCACAATTAATTACGCGGTGTATGCCCTCCTCCGATACTGTTTCGCGTCGGGTGGTCTAGATTCGTAAACTCGATCGTAGTATACCGCCCTCTCTGCCGGTTGCGGTGCACCTTCGAATTCCACACCATATGGTTCAGATACCTGTGGCAATCTCTGATACTTGGCGCGTTCTGATTTGTGTGGGTGGTTGGCCTGCGGCAATGATCTGACACGTGCAGCAGGTGACTTAGAATGAACAAGGGCAGTTTGACTGAGCAGAATTTGGCTTTGCTTCCGGATTGGTTGCTGGGCCGAAGTGTGTGTGTACTTTCCCGGATTGTTCACCGGTGGAGTATAGAAATTGTATTTCAACCGGTCATTCGGGATACCGTGCCAAGATAGCGAACTGTTTATGTAGGAAGAGGACATTTCTATAGTCTGCATGTACTTATCCACGGGCCTATCCATTGATGTCTGCCTCATAAGGCCAGAAGGAGATCTGGACCTCTCTTGTTCCTTTGCGTGAGACGAAACATAGTGTTGTTGCCGCGAGTCTGCGTGTTTTGATATGAATAATTTCTGATCGGGACCACGGAGATCAGTACCAGGCTTGACAATATGTAGTGATTTCGTCTCTTCTGACCGGACTCGTTCGCTAATCGGACTAGCCATTGGCGCCGGAGAAGATAATGGCACCTTAAATGTTGTCCAAACAGGGCCGGTGAATGTATCATCCTTGTGATCAACTACATCAAAACTCTTTCTTCGAAGGATCGAAGTGGTTGCCGGTACACTACCTTGGAATACACTCTGCTCTAGATCTTCATTCGCACGCTTGCTGCTATGCATAGCCCATTTATTGATATCTGCGACGTATTCCCCGTCATTGGGTATGACGCCAGTCTCAGTTTCAGATTTGTTCTGTGTGCCGGTGGCAACGACAGGCAATTCTGATACAATATGATATCTCCCTGCCTTAGAACCACTTGATGAATTGATAACCGGGGTTCCGAGAGGTAATATCCCACTCGATGTGGTCTTCCTTATTGCATATCTCTTCCTTTGCTTCAATTTATTAGAACCTTCTTCATCATTCAGTGGTATTGTAATATTCGCATCATTTTCACGTTCGCTCCTACTGACTTTCCCATAGCTGAGAGCACGTACAAGTGATTTAAACCCATTTGGCATTGTCATGGTTTCCTATATGGCCTTTTCAGGTGCGATTCGTGACCTATTTATGAGTGTACATGACAGACTATCAGAGATGAGCTCTATCTAGAATAGAAAGTGATAGCAGCTGAGGCGATTTTATTCAATTGTGGCCATCGGCTCTTCGATTTTTTTTTATATACACTAGATTTCTCACGCTGAATTTCTCATTGAACCTTGCCCCCATGATTCATGCAGTCCTTGTGGCCATCCTGAGTATAATCTACTATCAGTAGTTCAGTTATGATTATAGGTATTCGACTCGCACGCACATGACACATGACAAGTGTGGTGATAATAAAACCATCGACAGAAAATTTTATCAGCAAGACTTGAAGATGTACAGCAACAATCACTTACTCTTAAAATTATTATCACTATCAGACACAATTGAGAATTTGATACTGATAAATAAACGTCTATAGAAATGTCGAATGACTGGCTGGAGTCAGCTCCTGAGTGGCTGTGCGCTGTATAGACTATATAGTCAGACTGCAGAGTGCAGAACCGCAGACTGCAGAATGCAGATGATGCATCTCATTTACTCACAGACACAACTGTTCGCCCGCCCATTTTTAAAGAAAATAAATTATAAAGTGATGGCCTGGTAAACGACATTGAGATGTCTACTTTTTTTATACTACAAACGAGTTTCCGACCCGTCGCAATATGTCTTTACTCTTTCTCCCTACTAGTAGGCCAAACCGCCAGTGCCGTGACGTAAATATAATATCATCCCTGTTGTGACTGTATGTAGTAAATAAAAGACATGCGGTCTCGACATTTCGGGCCATCGAGGCTCGGGGTATGAAGCAAATTATAGTTTTCGACGGATACTCGTAAATAGTACGAAACTGTCGAAAAGTTCATACTGTTCTTTTTTTTCAACCATTATATTTACCATGCCAGCTCAGAGCAGCTCTCCCCGGGAGGAAAAGACTCAGAACTTTAGAAGGAGAGTGAAAACACTGTCACACTGTGACTGATTACTGGCAGTGAAGAGAGAAATAAAAATAATAAAAATTCCTTCTCATATTACTCTCAGGATACGAGTAGAATAAACTATTACTCTCCCATAGTCAGTAGAGAGTATCTACAATCTACAACTAGCAACCGCAGGTGATAAGCTACACGTTTTAGAAAACGACAGATATTAATGCGACGTGTCGTTGTCGCATTGGTCGCGATGGTCATATTTGATCATTTCGACAGGCCCTATTTTCGGGTTTTAGTGACCAATCACATGTTCCTAATCTTAACATTTAACATCTATTCAATGATATTCCCGTATATTAAAGACAGCTAATCATATCACATCGGCGTTTTCGACCGCCTTTATTTGTTGGGCGGGCTATTAAGGAGTTTCAGTTGCTACTTGGCCTGGCTGACATCCTGACAATACGTATTTAGAAACTAGTAACTACTATCTTAGTATTTTTAGTATATTATTAAACTGCATATGTGTGTAGCTATGCGGTGTCATTATTCTATAGTACTTCACCTTTAACATCAGATACAATGACAAAACAGTCGTGCCCTTCTGCCAGTTACTTCAAGGACAACCCTAAATGGGGCATAGTCAACAAAAGACAAAGGTACCAACCGTCGCACCACAAAATTGACATCTCTAATGTCTCCAAACACTTAAAAAGTACTAACGGTTACACCATAGACACTTAAAAGGTACTAACGGTTACACCATAGCTGTCAACCGACGGCGACATGCCGCTTTCATCTGCGACACGTCGTTTATGAATACGACCAGTTTCGATGCGACATGTCGTTTTGATAGGCGACGCCAAATTCATTGCGACGTGTCGTTTTCGCATACCAGATCAGGTGATAAGTGGAAGCCTAAGAAATATGAGAAAATGTATACATATTTAGTTTATTTACGTAGGTCGTAGGTAACGTAGCCTTCAAATTTCATTTATTATTATTTTTCGACTATCCGAGTATCCGACTCCGTATGGTGCCGGTTCAAATAGTGCAAAATAAATAAATCAAAAATATATATTTTCTATCAAAAAAAACCCCCGCACCGGGCGAAATTTTCATTCTAATATGAATTTGAAAACCCATTTTGCAAATTGTTTTTGCGATTTTCAAAACAATTTGGGGCCCCAATTCTTTTGAAAAATCGCAAAATAATTTGCATATTAATGTATTTATTTATAGTTAAAAGTTTTAGATTGCTGTGGGATTATTTAATTTTTGGATTGTCTGACTCTGTGAGAGATATTCTATTTTACTCCGTCTCTGGATTATTTGGGCGGCATTGACAATTTCTGAATTTAATGCACACGTAAAAATCGGTTTCTGGATTGTTTTGAAAATCCCGCACTGGTGAATATATAATTTGGATAAGCTGCCAATAAAACTCCACGAACTGTCCTTGGAAAATTCATTTTATTTCACAAATTAGTCTTCTTCATTTTTTTTTAAACAAACAACCCATAATTGAAACAGAAAAACTGAAAAATCATATTTATGGTAATTAGCCTTCAAAACCCCCCTTTTTGTTAAAATAAAAAACCCAAAAGCAAAATATACATCTTTTACTGTTTTATTTACATATATGTACTCGAGAGTCAAGTCTCAACTACTCATTCACATTGTTCAATTGTATTTTGTATAGTGTATACTGCATGGGTACGGAATATAAGTTCCAACTTTAATGTTAACTTTTTGATTTTTAAAAGTTATAACTTTTACTTAGGACAAATCAACTACAAAGTTATTTTCGAAACTGCACTCAATAAGCTGTCTGATCGTTGAAAATTTTAGGCCACGAAATAGATAATACGTAATCAAAAGAGATTGAACGTTTCAGTTGTGACGACTGTCACCTGAGTGACCTGGAAAATGCACCTATCAATTTATGGAAGTGTACTATCGAGATATAAAAGTTGCAACTTTAATGTTTATTCGAGGCATAATAAAAGTTACAACTTTTAACGTATTGAGCTTAGGTGTATACGGTGTAGTGAATACTGTATAGGGTATACTGTATAGTGCCTACTGTATACATTACGTCATAGCTGTACTGAGTCACTGCCCAGATTGACTAACTCACAACTATTTGTCACTCAGAGTCGACTCCGAGACTACTCTTTTTCTTTTAGTGTGATACTTACTGATTTTTCATAAATATATATATATATATATATATATTAAATATGTACATTCGTCATACATAGGCTATTCATTTTTTTAATCATTTATTTTAGAAAAATAAATACAACTATGTAATAAGAATGAAAATATATTGAGGGCTATTTATGAAAAAAAACCTAAATATTTATTGATAATAAAAAACACATAAATAATTAAATATGTATTTTAATCTGGATTGGTATACGACAACGACGTACACCCCTGAAAAAAAGTCGTCGCGACATATATGACATTATTGTCATGTCTCGATATGGGTATGTAGGCTACGATACAGCCACCAGCAGACCAGCCGACACCATATCGCGACTGGCATGTCCTACAAAATGTCGCCGCGACATGTATGACATGTCGTTTGCCCAAATGTCGGCATCGTTTACCAACCCAGGTATTTATTTACTGCGCGAGTCTGTGACACTGCGAGTCTGTGACACTGCGAGTCTGTGACACTGCGAGTCTGTGTCACGGTGAGACTGTGAGTCTGTGACACTAAATAAAATAGTTGTTTTTAATTTTATATTTTTTAAATATTTTTTTTAAATATTATGCGTATGTAACCTTCTGAAAATAAATGGAACATTATGTATATCAGTATTTGAAGATTATGTGATACACAGATCGATTTTACTATCTGAAATGAAAAAGATAACAGATGTTTGTTAGCTTGACTAATATTCGTGCACAAATGGCCCTGATCTTAGAGATTGTCGTGACTGAAATGGATAGCCTTCTCCGAAAAATAATGATATTTGTGAAATGGGGGTGCCAACCGGGCCATCCAACATCTCAACCCTCAGCCTCAGGTTCGACCCAGGTGTGTCTGTCCCAATGGGTGCCGAGTCCTTTGTCCTACGATTCCAGGGTAAGATTCATTCTAAAGTCCTCATCGCCAGTCCAAACCGAAATAGAAGACATGGTTACCTTTACAGTGCTACACGTGCAGGTTGATAGTATCGCTATTACAATAAATACGACATATAGTCGTGACAATTTGCCAGTCAAATATTTTCGTGTGAACTATATGAGCGCACAGCCGCACACGCTATCCGACGTCAATGTATGTTTTAGTCATGGCGGATGTTTGATACGAAAACAGTGCCGCGCACGTCACACCGATACGTCTGGAGGATGATAATGACGTATTTGTTGAAGACTGAATTGTTTAACCATATAGAACAATGTATCGAGTATCCTTATTTAATTCTCTATTAGGGGTTTTATATACCTTACTTGCCAGATGGGCTCAGACGTAAGTGTAGAGCGTGTTCTTTTTATATGGAAGCCTTTGTATCAAAACTATATGACAATTCTGACCAATGTCAGTTCTTATTTCTGTACCTTGCTAGGTATCGAACAGTTGTTGTATCTGGAATATTATTAACTGTGTTGATTTTGGCTTTAAAACATGAATTGTATTGCGACAGAGGGAACGAGTTACTATGAACTGTTTACTAATGCCGAAAAGGTAGCTACACTGTTGACGACTCGGAGGTAACCGACATTCAGTGTTCAAGTATTAAATCCCTAATTTGCTGATTCAAGCGTTCACGAGACGAAAGCGAAATTCGCTGTCTTACCTTTATACTACACGAAGGTAGCAATATAGAGGTGCGTGAGACACTTGCACAGCGATCTGTTATGCTTCACATAGCCAGGATTGGTAACTATGAGCATTGAATCAAGCAGCTCAACTATAGTGAATACATACGGTTGAAATGACGTAAACCTGTTTCTCAATGATACTGCAAGGAAATTGTACCTGCAAAGTCTAACAGATTTAGTTGGGCGCTATTTGGTCTTCTAGATATGACAATAGATCTGATGTATGCACCTATGACAGCTGCAATGGCACTCGTGTTCGAGCTGTGCGCTGCTGTCAAATATCCTCTCATCTTGATGGTTCAGAGTGACGTATAAAGCTGTTTCCTGCTTTGCGGAGATGACCCAAATTTCTTCGAAGCTAGTTACGTCAATTACAAGATTTTTCATCAACCACTTCGCTTTGCCCTGCTCCAGTGTGTATACAACCACATCGGCAACAGTGCTCTACCAAGCCTACTTCTCACACATTGATGGTGGCTGTTGCCCATATTCCTCTATTCGTTAGTCGTCTCTTGTACAGTCAGAAAACGGCTGTATTCGCGTATAGCCCATACTATGGGACGGTAAGGGATGGGGGCGGTGAAATTAGCGCATACTATAGTAGCTTCATATAATCGAAAACAAGTAACTGCATATTGCTAGCCTCCCTTCATGCCATATTGTCGGCGTGTGCCTACTGTCCAGGACCTCCCGCCCCCTCCCCGCCCGCGCTGGTGCCTGACTGCTTATTGGCTCTACCCTTCAAGTAGTAGTCAATGTACACTATACCTAAGAAGCCGTATCGCCAATGTTCAAGTCACGGTTGGCAGACCTGTCTGGAGTTTCCGCGAGACGTACCCAACTAGTTGGTATCACACTCCTATATGTGTTCTACAGTGCAGGCCACTCGCTCGGAATCGTCCTCTCGGAAACATATAGAAATACCTGCTGCCAGATCAAGTGAGCATTGCACCCAAAGTACCCTATGAGAAGTAGTAATTCTTCACAGATGTAACATACATCTGTTCAGGACAGTCCAAGGGCCTCCGCGGCTTCGATACTGCTCTGAAATTCTCTCTTCTGATTGTTTATCCACTGATTGTTCAAAAACAAAGGCGTGAATGTAAGTACAACATGTCAGCAGCACCACATCGTATCGACTTACCTGCAACAATAAATCCCCAACATAGCAACACGCACCCAGCAAGACTACAGCATTACATTGTATCATATTACACACACCAAAATATTAAAATAACCTCCAAATGGTACAGGTATAGGGATAACAGATGACCATGGTTGGTTAGCACGACAACAATATAGCTAATAATTCGTGCTATAAAGTAGTGATGTCTGAAATTAAAACATTCATATATCTGCGATTAAATGGAATGCTGTTGTCTCAATATCCTGCGATTCAAGGTAACGCCGTCGACTCGGATTTCATACTGTTACTGGGCCAGGTGAGACCTTCAGCGGCTTCAGCGCCCGCAATGGGAGTATAAGCAATTCTGGTACATGGATTAACTCTTAAATAGCACATACCATTTTGTCGTCGAACAATTTGTCAACACTCTCTGGTCCGTTGCCAATGGAATTCATCTTTTGACGGCAACTGCGGAGGGGCGGGGGGTGTATGCGCATGCTTGAGTAGCGCAGATGTGTGTACTATGTCATCTGTGAATGTATACGCATGTACAGCTCAAGAAATAGTTCTTTGTTTGATCTGTCAGGTGTATGTTAATAAGGCTAAAATCAACTGCAGTCACTTGTGTATTCGCTACATCGAGTATGCTATTGTACTGTTGGAAAATTCTAAGTTATATACATTCTTATGTCTCAACACATTGCCAAATGAGCTGTATGAAACAGCAGTTAAATATACAAGTACGAACGTATTTAGGTATGGCGGTACAACATAGTCAATATTTGAATGTTAAATCACCTAATGAGAATGTACAAAAGCATAGACAGGCGTGTTGCGGCAATATGTCGATTAAAGGCACCTGTGGCCTTCAAGCCTAAATTAGCGATGTGGCTTTGTCTCAATTTGACCAGACTCGTACGTCCATCCGGAAGAATTTGAAAACCATCTTCAACCCAGATACACTATCACACCTACAGAATGCATCGATGGTGCCACTGCAATTGTTTGTATTGCCACGTCACAGCTTGTACACAGTTTAGATACATATGCGAACATACCGTTGGAGTAGAGTGTATGGATAGTGTTTGAGTTTGTGGTATGCCAGGAGACGTTTTGCGCATGTGGGGCCGCAGTCAAACTTCCGCAGCACTCTGACGTTTCCATTGGCCGTACTATTTATAGATCTCAATACCCCGTTTTCAGTAGCCGAGGCGTCACCAAGACTGAAGCAGGTCTTAGTCGTACTGGTGTCGTTCGCGTTGGTCTTGATATCTTGGAGAGTGAGGGGATCGTATTTCCCGCCGGAAAACTGTACCATCAAACTGGCCGTGTGTTTGGACCTTCCACACGCCTACCGTATGCAGGACCAGAAAGTACAACAAATGTACATGTGCATGTCATTGCACAGACGACATATAATAATAAAATAGTGTTTGATACGATATATATATAAATCCGTGTCTACAATAAATGCACATAGACTACTATACAAAACATGCCTATATTCACAGGCGTGCATGCTGACGGCGCAAAAAAACTTCCGTAGGGTCGAACACTATGCGTCTAGCCAATCTGGCAGGTATAACCTAACTCCTCCTAACGTTTACGCAACATTGGGGTAAGATGTACAACAATTGACTTCAATCATGTCATCTGTATTGTGTATGTTTTTTTGCTCTCACGTTCAATATACACAAACACGAATACATTCAGGGCAGGCTAAGATATTGTATATACAAGACATAATTGTTATCTGGATACACTACTATACAGATAACAAATATATATACATGGTAGAAGATTGCCCCTGTACATATACTATACATGTATTATCGGGTCTGATCATACAATTTATGCTATTGTATATATGCAATATAGTTACTACCCTGTATGTAAAACAATATTATGCATATAACCAAAAATAACATAAACATCGAATGATACCGTACGCATGTATTCGGTAGTGATGCACGAATGAGCTATATACACGCATCAAAACTACTGTGGGCGCGCACACGCAGATGCAAATACGCACATACAATTACATTGCAAGTACCCCGGGATGGATGTAGAAATCTGTACATTGGTGTTTAT